TGTGGGGGGACCAGCTAGCAGCGACAAAGTAGGACCCTGAATTTTGCCATGCTTTGATGCCCCTTCGACTATAGTTTCGACTTTGATCGGTAGGGATTAAGAATTTAAAGTTATACGATCAACAGGTTGTCCAAAATACAGGCCTGTTACATATAGCGTCTGAGAGTTTAATGTTCATTATCGATTTACCTGGTTCTGGTGATGAGACCTACGCTATGGTCGAAACATGCATGTTCACAACAAACCCGCGAGTCTAGTGGAGCGTACAGGAAGATGTTAGGAAATGTATTGTTAAAAATCGTCCTTAAGTGTAAGAAGCATAAGATGGGCATCTCGTGCTTACGCAGACGTGGAAACATTATTTTTCCCTTCCTGGATATCAATCAAGTGTCAGTACTTGTTAGCGGTATTTAAATCTCAATTTGTATTCATTTTCCTCGTAGCGTCATGTATAAACAAACTGCCAAAACATCACTGGATGAGCTCCAAATATACAACTCTGGCTTCCGTACATCAACGGTTACAGAAATAACACAACAGCAACGATGAAGAGCAGACTATTAGAATCTGATATAACACTCTCCAAATTAAAAGAGAGTTCTAGCATTGTTGTAGAAGGTTGTTGGTGAAGTTGGTCGAAAACTGGGGAAACTTAGACTTTGCGTAAACTGAGAAAATTAATCACCAAACCTTTCTACACCATATTGAGCAATCGTAATACGGGAATACCGAAGGCTACAAGCGATTTGAACTAAAATCATCCAGTTGTGATGCTCATAAAAATGTGACAACTGGAAGACCTACTCCCGATTTAAGAGCTTGTATAGGATCCAAATTAGAAGCGACCTTCGCCCATCGGTAATGGATGAAAAGTATATTATATCAAATTTAGTAGTTAGTCAAAAAATATACTGCGAGTGGGTTGAATAAAAAATTCCTATCAACTAAAAATTGAAAAATGACTAAAAAAATTACATCCACTAAATAGACGGGTGAAGATCGTATCTGATTCAGATCTTCTACTATCATCAATAGGAATGGAGATGGAAGAGTAAAATGTACATTCGAAAAAAATGCTGTTTAGCTGGCGTGACTTTAGCGGCAGCACTTCCCCTACTGTTGTTCAACTGTGTACGATACGAAAAAAGATAAAGTTTACCTGTACGTGACGGTTCAAGCAATAATAAATTCTATTATTTGCTTTTATTGCCAGGTCCATTATTTTCATCAGTAGTTTCCCATAGTCAGTCTACTTCCTGATTTGTGGGTACGATATATGTATCCAGTAAAACAGACAGATATCTTATTGGCGTTGAAGCTCCTTAATATCTATAATAATAATAAATGCCTTTCTTGCGTTAACTAAAAGGAGGGGTTCACAATACGTGCTCTTTGACTAAATCTTACAAAGACAAAAAGTAATAAAATGAGCATGTCACAAATAAAAACAAAACAAATGAATCAAATGTTACACTGTTTTATTTAAGGGCTAAAATTTTAATATATAGACCATATTAATCCATTTCGTAACCGCTGTTTTTGAAAGATGTAAGCTTTCATTCCTTTTACTTTTCATGCCAACTAGCGGAAAAGTACTGTAATTGACAAAAATTTTTAAAATAGAATATAATGTTTTTTGGATGTTAGAGGGCATGTAAGATCACGAAAAACCATGTTACTTATTTCCGTAGGCCTGACTGTATATCCGTTTATCCTTGGCACGTCTGTAGCTTGGAAAGTTATACTCGGATTTTGATGAAATTTCCACTACTATGCCAAGGACGGAAAAGCTTTGTAAATTTTGAAAACCTACCCAGTGGCGGCATAGGAAAAAGCCGAAAACGAAAAAATGAGATTCGTTTTTTTGACGTTTCAGAGGATCCTGATCATTTTTGAAAAAAATCTAGGGATAAAAATGGAGGGTGGGAAGTTGTAGGATGTGGGTGAGAGTGTATCGCAATCTTGCAATGATTTGGGAAAATTCGGTTTTTTCCGGAAATACCTTGAATTTCTAAACTTTCTAGGTGGCATTTTGTTGGTTTCCCAGAAATACGCAACATTGCCCACATTTAAGCGACTCGGTCTACCGTACCTTACCATTTCCAAGATCCCAATGCTGAGGGTCGAATTTGAAACACCCAGTATAAAATATGCATCACACACATATCTACCTATTCGCAAGAGTGCATTTTTAACCCTAAAAGGCAATCAGTTCAATAAGATTGGATATTTTTTACTCATTATATTTTAAATAATCTTCTAAATAACTATTATTCATAGTTAGTCTAAGAATTTTGTATTTTCAACTTACCAATGTTACTTAATCCGGTTACAAAACCTATAGTACCTTTTGTTTTGTTATCGCAGTTAAACCATTTTTCTAAAAGCGCCTGTATCGCTTTGGGTCGTAGACTTTTGCAATAGCTGTCCATGAAGACAATGTCGACAACGTCCTTCCTCTACAATATCCATAAGCGTCGTTTTGGATCGGTGACTCTAGCGCTGTCAAATGATAAGAAATCGTATTTTTCCATGCAAAAAATAAAAAAAAATCTTCAACCCCAGGTTTTTTTAAGAGTTTTTAAGGTTTTAAAAGTTGTTTGTAGTACATATATCATAACTAAATGATTAAAAAAGGTTCTATGCATAAGGTCAAAGTGATATTTACCGTATTTAGAAGTCGTCGATTCCAACTTTCTTGATTCCACATTTACCGTTACATTTGTTACTGGAAGGTTTTAAATCCTTATCCGAAAAAACGGTCAGTTCAAAACAGTAAAGAACTTCATCTGTTTGCTTGCAGTCTCTGTATCAATGACCAATCGCATACGTTGTTTCACGATTATTAGCAATCATCAGTACGGTATAGGTCTCGTCGTTGTGGGCAAACAAATAATTAGAAATAATGGTGGACGACATATCTCGGTACATAGAACGGTGTCGCTCAGATACTCAGGTGCTCCTGTCATTTTCAGCGTATGGGGTGAACATGTATCAAGCTCTGTCGAACCATTGTAGGTCGCGTTTGTCAGTATTGTTACCTGTTGGTGAGCTTTTGCCCGTCCTCGCCAGATCTCTCCATATATCGAATCAATGGAAGGACTTGGCTGGTTTACGTAGATTAGATCGCCACTCCAAACTGACGTCGATAACTTTAAAACAATCTCTGCATTTTTATTATATATCGTACTTTTTACAAATTAACAGATTTGTTATGAAACAGCTTTGTAAAGAGTATCTACAACCTTAAACATTGCAATTGTTTTCTGAAGAGATGTATTTTGAACTTCAATTATTTTCTATACGATCACTATAATCTCTTTTCGTCAGCTTTTCTCCCTGAATATTAACTTTTGTGCTGTCGAGACGTTACTTTTATTTCGATAACGTGAAAATCGTTATTTAGGAAAAGCTGACAAAAGTAGCTATTGAGAGGAAAATCCCTATTATAGGTAATTCAGTTCCTATAAATTAACTATCTCTCCGATGCAGGCAACAGTCATAATGAATTGCTTAAATAGGCTATACAAATTTAGTTTCGCTCATTTTAGATTTATATTTATAATTATTTATTTACGTTGGTAATGCTGCCTATTTTTTAAGATCTGAAAGAATTTAAGATAATCTTCATTCGTGCCACGTTCCATCCTGATTGCTTGAAACTGCATGGCTGCAGTTTCACAGACTGCAAAGAAGTTTTGGGAACGCTATCCAGTGAGACATATTTCATAATTATATACAGGGTATCCTCAAAGATGGGACTACTACAACTACGTTTTAAATAAGGAAGTTAATTTGCTGTAAAATAGCTCAGCGAACGTAAAAAACAAGTTGAAGAAAAATACTCACCATTTAATTGACATGACATTTCAAGTAGCGCACATGTCACATGTGTGTAATTACTGCTTGAAGTTGTCGCTGTTCGATTCAAGAAGACGAGTATGTTTAATTCATCCCAAATTACCGACATTTGGGTCTGTGAAGGTCTATTGTGTCCACCTAGACGGCTTTTGCACGATATAAACAAAGCTACACAGATATGACGGAAATATCTAGGACGACAGCGACGTTCTGAATACTTCAATATACTCGCAAAGTATCAATAGGATCTTGAAGATGCTTACAGTAAACAAAGATCAAATCAATAACTACGTACGTAATAACGGTTTTCAAATGCGGTTTGTTTATAAACTAGATTAACCTACACATTGCGCGATTTCGGACTTGGATGCTGACTCACATAGTCACAGTACCACAAAAAATCGTACCCTGTGGCATCTGAGATGAGAGAAGCAAGGTCGAAATGGCTTATTTACAGTTTTAAAGTTAATATGCTATTATAAGGGTTCAAAGATCATTGAACATTGTTTTTGAGCAGCTTCAGATTGCTCAATCACTCGGCTATTTTCAACACGAATGTTTGATAGTCCCGAATGGCCATTTACAGTGGACTAGATTAGTTCAACGCTAGGCAACCTCATGAATTTGTTTGGATAGGTGTCGATAAGTATATTTGGCAAGTTCTGGCGGTTAGAATTCCCTGTTGTATTTTAGGCATAGTCCAATATATCCACTGAACGTATAAATAAAAATATATGCTTTATATTTTCTGAATTCCCGGTGCTTTCAAGAGTTCAGTCAAACTACCTTCAGAGAGCCTCTGCATCTTGATTCCTCAAATTTTAGTAGTCACAAGTATAATAATTTTTTGGATAGATTTTTCATAATTCCATGAGGCGATATCATTTTTCAGAAGATCCGAAACGATCTTTCAAAACTTGGCGTTTTTTTTTTATATTCCAACTACCACGAAGGCCTAAGGCCTAAACACCCATTGGGTACCGTGGGGCTATAGGGGGATACAGGGGAAAGGGGGAACGCCACACGGACTCTGGCGAGGGAACACGTGTGCATGCAACATGCACACATTCTGGCTCCGCCTACGAGATCCGCCGGGTGGTACCTCCACGTTCGACAGTCAGAGGCCATCTACCACCTACGGACAATCACAACATCCATAGCCAAGAGAAAAATTTCTCCTGGAACGGGACTCGAACCCGCACAGCGCACGGCGACTGATCAGGAGACCGAAGAGTCTACTACTGCGGCCACCGCTGCTGCCTAGCAGCGTTGCTGAAATTCACAGATAAACAAGTACCACTTGCTTAATTGTCATAGTTAAAGTAACAAGGCATCTTAGCATGACAAGGGCTTTAGAATGAAATGAAAAACATGCTTGATGAATCAAGCAATTCTAAGCCACTGCAGATCACACGTCCATGTATTTTAGGTACTATAAAATCCTGTACAGGGCCTCGAACGCACCGCTCAGCTCAGATGTTAAGAAAGAGATTTTCTGGCGATTACCGATCATGCTGCGCTGAAAGGAGCAACCGGCAATAAAGTGCTGGACTTAATCTTAATGTTTAAGGAATGCGATGAAGGGGGGAAAATAAATACAAATTATGGACCAATAAAGTCGTCATTCTAAATTATAGTTTCCTCTAGCAAACAAATATTTAATTAGGATTGCTTGCCTGGTAGGCTATTGAGAGCTCCAAGGAAACAATTTTTCAGCAAACAGCTTTGTATAAGGTACGATAAGTAGGATGTTTGACGCAGCAGGAAGAAGGACGTTAGGTAGATGCACTCAGTACTTCTACCCAATAACGAAGTAGCAACTGCTGGTCAAAATTACTTAACTGGTAAGTTATTGGCAGCTACGGGAATGATTTTTCAACTGTGCATGCGGTAAGAAGTATGTTTTGCTCAGTAGGAAAAACGGCGGCAACCACACATATTCTCTTCTCGTGTGTCTTTTCTGATTGAAGATGGCTTGACTCCTGGGATACTGACAGCTATACGGAAACAATGTTTTAGCACTTTACCTTGTTTACTGTAGATAAGCAGGAATAGGTTTTGAACATTTGGAAGAATGGTGTAAAGTAGACGTGTTCCATACTCGAAGCTTGTACTTTTTCTAACCAATGCTCAAGGCAAAACCACAGTTTTTGATTGTTGATTCTGGGGATGATAGACTATTGAGAGCTCTATGGAAATAGTTTTCCAGCATAAAGTATTAGTAACGATTGCGTCAGGTAGATGTGGTTAGTATTCATGGAAAAGATCACCACTGTTCAGCTGGTACGCTTTTGGGAGCTCTATCGAAACAATTTTATGGTAATCCATATCATTCATTTTCGTCAATTCTAAAAATAGGTAATTTCGTTTTGGTAAATAATCAGGCTCCTCTAGCCTTTAAGGCTCGCGGAGAACCTGATATGTCACCCCATCTCCAGACCGCCGTAAAAGCGGAAACTTGTAGAAGAAAGCGACATGAGGATGGAAGCAGATAGAATATGGCATAACTAAAAGCACTGGTGGTGTCAGGTAAAGATGACGTGAAAGTTTCTAAACACTTAAGATGGGCTCAACTAATTTCTCCTGCCGGAAACCATATAACCTGTCGCTAACGTAGCGTTGATAATTGAAACACTTCCAAAGCCTACTGTAAAGCCCACTCTAGAGAACAGACGAGTCGATGTCAAGTCTAGAAACAAATATAACGAAGCGGATCGCAATGACAATAACCAGTAAGGTACAGAAATTGGGTAGAGGGCAATGTCGCAGCGCAATTGGAGTCGGGCTTTCTGGAGGCTCGCCAAGCAGATTGATGGGAACTCGTCGAAGAGGGGCCTTCCTCCACTTACGTGCCAAGATGAAGCGATTGTACCTGACTCTAAGGCTTAGAGATAAAAGTGCTTGCCAAGGTCTTCGCAACATCACCGTAAACGTCCTCCCCAACACCCGAGTGCCGTCGATTCAAGAGGTCCCTTACACTGTGAAGGAAGTAACCTTCAGGCATAAGACTGTAAGACGGCTGCTCTTAATTGAAATCAACAAAGCGAAGGATTTGGATCATCTGTGGCATGTTGCTCTCTCCATCCTATGGCCTCTGAGAGAAGCTATGAAGATGTGTGGCTGACTCCTCTCTGGCCGTAATGTAGCCGTTGTAACTAACGGGTTCCTCTCTCCATCCCGCAATATCAAAACGGGGTTCTCCAGGGAGCGGTGTTGACACCAACATTGTTTCCATTTCATAGTAACGACTTTCTCTCCTGTACGTCCAATCCGATCCACAGCTTTGTCGATCTCTACCGGTACAGTTTGATGCTTCCAAAATACAGTATTATACCTTCACTAACAGGAAGCGCCTTAGCGCTCAACCGGTTTCGATGTATGGCCGAGTTCCAGCAAAGAGCCGTTCATTGCGGCTGGTCGAAGTCCAGATCACCGAGGACTTAATTAGGCACGAATAGATCTCGTCGATGGAGATAGCTGCTGGGAAGAAGCTGGAAGCAAGATACTTGTTTAGGGGTAAGAAGCATTTTTCTCCTCATAACCTGCTCAACATGTACAAGGCCTAGATAAGACCGAGCCTCGATAACTGATCACATGTTTGTGGTGCTGCCGCCCCGACTGCGTTGTCTATACGGGATGGTGTTTAGAGGAGCGCTGTCCGACAAATCGATCCCCCCGGTCAACGATTTTCCACCGCTACTCAACCGGGCTTTACTCTTCAGAGCTTTCTTCTATGATGCCGTCGCGCTACGAGTCTCCCAGGCAGACCCGTTAGTGTTCAGCCTCCCAACCTAGCCATGTCGAACTTCGTATACCCAGTACTGGCCAGTATGACAGGCCCTTTGTTCCTCTGTCGAGATTGTGCAACAGTCTACCTGAAGAGGTTTTTACCAGTGCTGATAGCCTTCGGAATTCAAAAATCGGATTAGCAAGGTATCTCTAACCCTTCAAGTAACAAAAAGTCAAACTACTAAGACAATTTAAGAATCAGTTGATCTGGAGTTGTCCAGCGAAAGCAAGTCTATCCTGGATCCGGTTCTGCCCTCAGACGAAAAAACCCGCTCTTAATTTGATTCCATAATATTTTCATTAGTATGCATAGGAAAAGTAACGTATAAGAAACGAACGAAGCGCGGATCTCCTATGCAAATGGTCGTCTCAAAGTAGTACTGGACAGTTTATTGCACGTTCCGAACGGGTTCTGTTAATTCGAGAGTCGCTCATAACTAGTGTGTATGAATGTAGTGCCTGTCGTGATACTACGAGCCATTTTTTGCGCAAAGGGCGTTTCTATGATGACAGAAACTGTTACGATTTCCGTCCAGGCTTCGTGTTGCAATAGCTGCTGGTAGTACTAAAGTGTAGTCATTTGGTACTGATAGCACATATAACTGAGATGGGCTTTGATCTTAACCCATGCGAATTAAGTCCTAAAGTCTCATATTTGCATGTTTTCTGGAGCAATAGAAGTTTTTTGTGTGGAAATGTAACTACCAATAGAGGACATGAAAAGTGTGTATGGATGTGGTAGTGCATGCCACGATACCATGAGTAATTTTTTGTGCAAAGAGCATTTCTATGATGACAGAAACTGTTACGAAATCAGTTCGTCATCAATAACTGCTGGCAGAACTAAAATGATGCCTGGGTCTTATAGCACCATGATCTTGATCCAGGCAAATTAAGTTTAAATATGCTAACACAATGAGTTTCTTAAAACAACAGAATTCCGTGTTTTTATGATGACCATCTGATAGCTTTGTCAGTTTGATGGAAGTACTCACTTGGCTGACAGCTTTGACAATTTATTGTCTAAATATTGTAAACTGTCAAAGCAATTCCATGGTTACTGTTATTCAGTATAAAAATGTTACACAGCTGGACAGCTTGACGATGACTGAACGCACTCAATGGTATGCCTAGCTATGTATTGAAATGATCTCGTTTACTGTAGATGACCATTCGGATCTCTTATTCTAATATATTGTGCTTCATTGTTGCGAAAAGCTATTATTACTACGACTTTTCCTGCAGAACCGCAGATTCCACGGCAGTACCTTACATGCAGGCATTCAGAGCACCAGACCGATTTTGTGGTTCAACTGAACTAAGAAGATGTACGAGTAGACTGGAAGTGTCTTCCTCTCTAACGTTTGATGATAAAGTAATTTGGTGAAGTTTAATACTTCCAAGGCAAGTATTGAATGTCAACTGATAGGAACCATCCATGCATACACTAGGTTTCGACGGATGGTCAAGTATCGCCATGAGGCCAATGTTTTCGACAACTTGGAGTTCAAAGCGTTAGTTACAGACAGTTACTTGGTTACCTGCTTAGAGATAAAAAATAATATGAATCATGCTTTTGGAGATCTATTCCAATTCATTCATTTCCTTCTTTTTGCCTCTGTCCGATTAATCCTTGGATCCGTTATAACTTGAGAAGTATCGGGCGGATTTTGACAAAATTTTGATATTACTGTGCCAGGAAAAAAGCTATGTAATTCCTGATAATCGATGAAGTGGCGGTAACGCTGAAGGCATAAAAATTGGAAATACAAAAATCGTTCAAACTTCTTGACATTTCAGATGCTCAATTTGGGTAGAAAGGATTGAAGATTGGTGGTTGTAGGGGGTTGGTATCAGTAAACACGGTGGATTATCAAGAAGCTTCGTATATCGGTAATAATTTGCAGCTATCAGACAAATTCAAACGTTCACCAGCTCGAATAACAAAAAATGTCACACGTCCGGTGCTGCCAGCTAACCGTACTGCGACCACGATACCACCTAAGGACACCAAAAAATAAATGGCCCTGGTAGCAAAGGCACAGGCAGGTCATATGCGTGTGGCGTATACTCGTATTTAATCGGGTGTTGGCGGATATTCATAGGAAGCAGTGTTTTGGATAAAGCTTGAGTCAAATAGGTTGTTGACTCTATATCTTACTGCTAACTGCTTTAATCGATTTATGTTGAATCATAGCTCCTATGGCGTCTGAAAATAGACCATACATAACCTAGGTAATTGATTACAGAATCGCGTGAGAAGCAACTCAACCTACTTGACGCCAATTTTTTCATGTTACTCGTCAAGAGAATGAGATTTTTCTATCAAAGAAGTCTTCGGAAACACAGTTCCTCGAAAGTAGAACCAAAAAGTAGTTATTTAAAGAGAAGACCGAAAGGGCGAATGAAATTAGAGAGACATGACTCCAAAAACATGGCGTACAAAAAACAGCAGATGGCGTCTAAGCACGGCTGTTCTCAAATTTGGATGAATTTATTGAAGTGACATGGTTAGGACATTTATTTATGGTGGGGATATTTATCATCCATTTG